TGTATCGCCGACCATTACTTGATAGAATTCGTGAGATAACGTCGAACTGTTTTTGTTGGACGCCCTGTCAGCCGAGACTCAGTCATTGCTTGACAAAATTACAAATGGAACACGAGGGAGGACGTACCTAAAGAGTGAAGGGTTGTCTGCGTTCAGTGAGCAGTGCAGACCTGCTGCTAGGAGTGCCGGGAAAGGATGTTCGCGTGCATTCCCGCAGAGGTGTAGAAGTTCATTGGAGATTGGACACAGCTCGAGCGCAATGTTGGCAGCCTTGTACTTCTCAATCAGCAAAGGATGCTTGAGCAAAGCGTAGCCATGGCCGATGCGCTTGGCGTTGAGGAGGAGGGAATCGTAAAGATTACTATTGTCAGGGTTATGTGAGCCACCTGTGTCGAGGAGGGTCTCGCCAGCGTGAAACATGAATGGTATCTTGATGTTGAGTTCGTTGCACGTCTTTGTGAAGGCGAGAAGGAGATCTGCGAAGAAGTTGATGTGATTAGGACGATCTTCGGCACCAACGAGATCGAAACCTGCGACTGTCAGTAGGAACAGCAGACGTCAAATAGTAGACATACCACAGATGAGATCGGGATACTGCAGCTTCAGTTTGATGCAGTCCTGAAGCTCAAGCTCCATCTTGGCTCGAGGAATACTACGAGGAGTGCAATAGATGATCTTCAAGCCGAACGGGAATTTGTCGATCTCGCCTCGAGCACGTAGCTCATCCTGCTTACGTCTGACCTCCTCCACGATGATCTGCATCTGATCTTTGTGATTCAACAGGCGCACGCCATCGTCCCCTGGGATGGTCTTGTCGAGTAGCATAGGTCGAAGCTCGGCGTACATGACGTGATCCTTGATCATGTTGTCGATGGCAGCACCAATGTACCACCTGTAGACGCTTTCATAGTTGACCAAGCCCTTGAAAGCTCGCGTGCCCTGGTTGAAGCAAGCCCAAGCACCATTGTGTGTCTGGCGTGAATGGTAGGCAGTCTGTGTTGTCACAATCATCTTCTCACGAGCCCATATCTCTGCAGGCGACAGTCCAGGTAGTTGATCTGGAACATTGGCGACGATCTCGGCAGGGAAGTGCTTCTGGAAGTCAACCCATCTCATCCATGGGTTATTGGTCGTCTCACGGAAATCTGGACAATAGTCAATCGAGTAGATGTTGGCACTAGGTGTGGTCTCAGGCTGTACGCAGAAGACGACTTCCTGCGTAGCGAAGTCCGCAACGCTAAGGAGTGGACCTGTCGTACGGACATACATTGTGTTGGGGAGCTTGCGTGCATGTGGGAACAAGACTTCGGGCTTGATCTCAGAGTTGAAGTGTAGATGCAGATGAGCGCCTTTGGGAGCCCGCTGGGAGATGGCGAAGAGTTTACTCTGGTCGATCCGGTCCTTATTCACCAAAAAGCGGCCGCCAAGATCTCGGGTCGATGGATCGGGTATAGCTTCGGTAGGCAAGTCACCAAACTGCTTTGGATCGATGCGCTCATGTTCGCGAATGCTGAAGATGATGCGTTGTGCTTGGCGCTCACTTGGTGAGGCGGAGGCTTTGGCCTTCGCATCCCATGACTCTGCCTCCTCGTGAGACAGCAGTTTGCTTCGATTGATCTGGTAAGGACGGTCTGAAGTCTGCGCGAGTACTGAGGCGAAGGCAGCTTTCACTGTGTCGTCTGCGTTCGACATGATCGATACGGTTGCTTGAGGTTGTTGTTTGTGTGAGCGAGTGCGCAGAAGTCGCATCGGCTTTTCTATGCCTGAGTCGTCCTCGTGTAAGTCAATCTTACCACTATCCTGCTGACGTCGTCTTTTTAACTGCCACTGACTGTCAGCGTTGGCCGGAAGCGCTCATTCGTCATTGCATTCACCTTTGGCATAATGGCTTCCTTTGTCCGGACGACGCAAGCAGTGATGATGTGTGAAGCTTGCTGCATGGGCTTGTCTGGGTCATGCTGAGCGGCATGCACAATGATCTGTGTTGTCGCAACCATCAGTCTATTGTTCTAGGTGACTTTGCGCGCGTCTATCGATAGGTACTACGCCAAGGATGCTGCTGGTGTATAGGGACGTTCGCTTGGTCTGTGAAGCAGGGCGCAAGGGATCAAATACCTGATTGACATACACCGGGAGACCTCTTCCCTGGTGACTCCTGGACTGCGGCGCAAGACCGTTTCTGTGACCGCTGGCTGGAGGAGTCAAGAGGTCGACCCAGGTCTATCAGGCGCGCGCGCGAGATATCGATCTGCGGGTGTTCTGATCGTGTATGGTGAGAGGTGAGTGTGATTCGGCCTAAAGCTTGTCGCTGCTGCGCCTCGATACAGCCTGCGCTTCTTATTGCCCCTTCAATTTGGGGCGGGACTTGAGTAGTGCTGTGGAGCACAAGTTCGTTGTGTGCTCAAGTCGCGTGCGGTGGACGAAGAGCAGTCGGCGCACCAGAAGGTGCATTGTCTTACGAGAAAGAGAGACTATCGCAGTGGCCTCTGCGTTCGGCGGCCTGGACTGTGAGGCTGGCGGACGACTGCACGAACCCCACTCAGCATGCATGCCTGGGGCCTCAAAGCCGTATCTCCTGAGTAAACATAGCCACAACGCCTTAGCCGCCTCAGCCTTGCTTGCATGAGCAACGAGCTAATGGCTCTCCATCTCGTCTGACCGGCGCGGTTCTTCAATATCGCCAGCCCGCGCGAGAATTGCCTTGTTCTCTGGCAAGCACATACGTTACACAAGCGGCTGAGGCACTTGGCAGACATACATTTGCCAGATATTACAGCCGTCTGATTCTTACAAATTCATCTCTTACAGCACCGGTCAAGAGGATCGACAAAACGGGCATCTCGTGCTTGCTTGCATTCATAAATCCTTAGATGGGATGAAGTCTGGGACACCAACACATCACTAAAGCAATAGTCGTGCTCCACAATGGGCTCTTACGGCAACAACATCACTATCATCGAGGACCTCGCCGATTGGCAGCTGCTCTGGCCTGACGGACTTGCGAACTTTCAGCTGGACATCGTTGGTTTCCTTGCTATCCTCGGCGAAGCATCAATCTTAGCCAATGCTCAGGTTTCGGCCCTCTCACGCCTCTTCTACCTACCGCGCTTGCTACCTGCGCCGCAGGCGCTACTCAGAGTGACGAGACCGGAAACGTTACCGCCGACAGAGGCACATGTAACAGCGGTGCGGTCTGGCAACAACAAGAAGAGCCTCAATCATGTGGCGAGTGTTCTGCTGTGAGTATTCACCGCGCCAAGCGCCGAAGCAACAACTGATCAGAGGTAGAGCGACTCATCGTGACGAGCTGCGGAAGTGGTCAGTCAGATGTGTCAAGGTCAGTAGGACAAAGGCGGCCAACAAGCTACCGACCTGGTTCGATCATGTGCTTCGAGGCACCACGAAGCAAACGAGCTTCCGTATAGGCGACAACAACAACAACCACCAGCAGGAGTTGATTCCGACAACAGTCAAAGCCAAAGCCGCTGGCCCACTTGCCTGGGTGACCCTGCTCGGCTTCTCTCTCACCTTGATCATCTTCATCATCTCGCTTCGTTACGGCGATGGCATGTCGCTGGTGGCCCTTGTTGCACTTTCAGGACTATCAACAATCTGTGGTATAGCTAACAAGTGGGAGCTCAGTCTGCCGCAGCGTCCTAAAGATGCTACCGAGTCGGAGAAAGACCAGATCGTCATCAGGTATCCCGAGGGCAGTTTTCTCGTGGTCAATTGCGACGAGAACATTGCTCGCGAGTTGTTCTTTGCTCCAGAGGAGATCAACTATGCCATTAAGAGTCCTACGATCTACAGAATCCTGGCTCTCGTCGGCTCTGTCATGCTGATGTTTGGAGTTATCCTCCTCGCCAACGCTCGGCTCCAGCTACAGATGGCCTGGGCTGGTGCGTATCTGATACTGAACGCAGCTCACTGGGCAGCAGCAGCTCTACCAGCCAAGGCGCACTGGGATCTTTCGGCTTATGAAGTACAGGAAGAAAGCATTGCGAGAGGTGAGATGGTGCTGGAAAAGGAAGTGCAGCAGAAGAATGGTGCAAGCATAGTGGAGGGAGAAATCTATCAGTATGGTGGTCCGTATAGCACAAGCTTCACTGAAGCTCTCTATAAGGTCATCCTCTTTACCAAGCGAACCCGATGGACGAAGCTGAATGAGTCGCCTCCTGCCACCGAGACATGGACGCTGTGGCTGCAAGAAGCCCTGGCCGCTGCGAAAGCTGCCGAAAGCACAGAGGACGGCAAATTGGTCGATCCATTGCCTGGCTGGAACCATAACAATGGAGTAGGCACCGTTCACAGTATGGTGGCGCCCAATGTCTTTCATCCGAAGAAGGCTTTCAACAAACTGGCTGCACTTAGGCTAGACGACGAGCCGGATGAGTCGACTGTCGAAACAGGAGGTCTGCGACTAGTAAACAGAAACACTGTTGCCGGTGCTGAACAGCTACCAAATGGTCATGTCGAGACACGCAATGGAGAGCCATGAGCTTGAATATCTAATTTGATCTGTTCTGGGCGTTTGAGCGTTGTCAGGCATAGCGTCAACTGTGCATATCACTTCAATCAGCGATCTAGATACCAAATGAATACACTGTCATCTACTGGGCCAACGTAGTTGCTCCCGGCTTGTCTATTTTGTGACAGCCGCCAGTGTCTCATTGTCAAACTCAAAGATCGCCTCAACCTTTCGACCTGCGACAAAGCTTCTGCGGTGGAAGTCGGTGATGTAGCCATCTCAATCTCTCGTCTCAACATCCCTAGACATCTTGACTGACACGTCCGACCTGCGACAGGGGCTTGCTCTTCTGTGGCGTAGCCAAATTTCGTCTGAACTCTGACAATTCGCTTGCAGGATTGTCTGACACCACAACTCTAGGACAGGAATGCTATCGGCGCTTCCGCAATCAAAAAAGAGCATGTTCGTTTGATCCTGCTGCTTTTACGTGTTATCTCTGTGATTATTATGGCATCGAGAAGCAAAAGAAATGTGCCTGCACTGAGAATCGAACTCAGATCTTAGGATAGCCCGTGCTATGCAGGAGTCATATCGATGAGAATATGAGACCTATGTTCTGACCGTTAAACTATGCGGGCAATAGAACGAATTAGAGGCCTTCCCAACAGTTTGACGCCCTATATCCTCGGCATTGTGGTTTGCCAAGACTGTGGGTTCGAATGTCGCTGACTTCCAGTATTTGGCAGCACCACTACAAGTGCTTCCAGAGTATCTCAGACAGTGTCGTACAGTATTCGTAGTCAGGAGCAGTGTCCACTTATCATATTGTTCGCAGGCTGTTGTGGCTTGATTGGAAAGAGTGAAACCGATAACTATAGCTCGTATGCGGCGTGTTGTGGTCTCGTGTAGACGCGTGCCATCGATACAGCCATCGTGCTGAAGACGTCAGCATTGAGACAAGGGAGGAAAGGTTCGCAAGGAGTGATAAAGAGAGAGTTGTCAACTACTCAGGACGTTGGTGTTGTTTGTAAGGAGTGGCAGCTCGAACCAAAAGCGGAGGACATGCCCTTTCGCAACCACGTCCACCAAACGCCGTCACGCAACGACCGCCGAGGATGTCTTCACGCTCAAGACCACGAGCTAATCATAATCAGGATGCAGATGAGGAGCGACGACTATGGAAAGAGATCAAAGAGCGCGGCTCACGCGTGGATGAGATGGTCACACGCTCCAATGCCATTGGCAACGAGATTCTGGACGTGGAAACCCAGCAAGCTGCTCTACTTGACGCTGGCAAGCTGTCCGATATGAGCCTGAATGAAAAGCTCGAAAATCTCTACCGTGAGAATCTGAAGCTTTGCGACGAAGTTCAGCAGATCCTGGAGGGTGCGGCCGGCGAGGCTAACCTCCTTGACAGCATCAACATCCTCGCTGGTCTGCGAGAGGCGTCGGTCGGCGAACAGGCCGCAGCACCAGTCACCACACCTCGTGTGGTCAGCGGTAAGCGTGATCGACCCAAGAAAGGCGTTACCAAGGTGTCTACTGCAACACCCGTAGATGACGCTATCGATGAGCTATCTGCTGCGCCTTCGCCACGAGTCGCTGGTACGAGACTCACCAAGGAGAAGTCATCTCGTGCAGGCTCCATCCCAGCAACACGAGAAGCAAGCGTGAAGATCGAAGATGGCGCTGAGAGCATTGCCAGCAGTATCGACACTATCCCAGCCGCTGGTAAGCTGGGACTGGCTGCTCGCATCGCCTACAAGACTGGAGATTTAGTCCTCTACAAGCATAGAGACCGTGGCTCCGAGGGCGAAGGCATACTGTGCCGCGTCACAGCCGTCATTGGAGAGGGCAAACAGCGTCGCTACGAGATCCAGGATGTGGATACAGATCCCTCGAGCAATCCCACACCAGGACCAGGTGGCAAGGCACTTCCTGTCACAGCTTCTGGCAGCAGCTTCAGGGCGTCGATCAACTCACTCATGCAGATACCCGAGTCCAACGACAAGCTGCTTGATCTGCCGAAGGGCAAACAGGTCCTTGCGCTATATCCAGACACAACGACGTTCTATCGTGGCGAAGTCACTGCTCCATGGAAGGCAAAGGACGGCACAGACAGTGTTCAGGTCAAGTTCGAGGGCGAACAGGAGAATATCGAGAGTCAGCCTGTTGAGAGGAAGTATGTCCTGCCTGAGAAGTGAGAATGGTTGGCGTGATCTATGTCTATTTACAGTTCCTCATGGTTTGGCGAAGGCTTTGCAGAACCTGCGCTCTTCGCATCCTTGACCATCTTGATTATCTCCTCTTCGCTTGGCATATCATCTCCGTCGTTGATCGTCACGAACTTGGCCTTGCTGAGGATACTCTCTTCAGGTCCAGCAGGCTCTGTCACCGAGCTTGCAGCATTGTCAGTTGACTTGCTTTTCTTTGCCGCCTTGGTCTTGGAGCTCTTAGCTTTCTTAGACGATGAAGGGCGTGGTGGCATCTTGATCTTCTTGGACAGAAGCTTCACTGTAGCGTCGCTCAGGAGCGCCGCCTGCTTCTCGAGCTCCTTGATAGTGTAGACAGGGTCGTCGAAAAGCTTAACCTTCTTCTGCTCGGTCTCTTTGCCTGACAGCCAAGCCTTGACGTCCTCGTACACTTTCGAGATAGCCTCAAATTCCTCTTCAGTGTAGTTCGTAATCATATCTGTGAACGCTGTCGACTCTTTCTCTTGCTCAGGAGTGTCAGGCTCTTCGAGATCGTCGAGACCATCTTTCGATGTCGGGACAACCTTGTCTGCCAGGGACGACGCGGATTCGGATGCCTTTGCTATACTACTACTAGCAGCATCCTTGGCCTTTTGCATCTGCTCTCCGATCATCTTGATGAAAGTATCAGTCTGCTCGAGTGAAGTCCTAAGCGCGCTGAGCTTCTCAGGTCGGCCCTCGTTCTCTGATCTTCTGGTCAAGATAGGCGTGACCAAGTCCTTCAGACCCTTCAACTTTTCGCGGAAGACCTGCTCAGTGGCCTTGGCCACTTCAGAGGGTTGGTCCATGAAGTCGCGAGTTGTCTCAAGGAGCTTGGCAATAGCAGCACGTTGTGTCTCGGTGCTAAACGTGCTGTACTCGGTGTTTGTCAGGAAGTCCTTGACATAGTAGGTGTAACTCTCGAGCACATTAGCAGCTTCGTCCCGAGTTATTCGAGCTTTGTCTGAGCGGTCGAAAGCCGTCAATCTCTCAAGCATTCGTTGCTGCTCTGCAGGTGCAGGCTGGTTCAACAGTATAGTGGTGTAGTCGATATTGATGATCTCGGTTCGCTTCTTTGGCTTCTCTGGTGGCTTGGAAGAGCTCGCAGATGCGCTAGACTTGGCTTTCTCGCTCGTGGATGTTGTTACTGTCTCAGTGGTGCCGGCTTCCTCGTCACCATCGAGAGGAGCTTGATCCTTCTTCTTGCCGAGTCCTAACCAATCCTTGACGCTATCGCCGACGCTTGACTTGACAGCGGTATCGGTCTCGCAGCTAGCTTGTGCGAGCACAGCCTCGAGAAGTCCATCTAAAGGACTCAATCGTAGGGAGAACTTGACGCTGACATCATCCTTCTCACAAGCGAACTGGTCCTTCAGAGCCTTGACAGTGGCAGTAAGATTGTGCGTGCCGACTTGAGCGAATGGCACCTCTACATTGTCAATTTTCTGGTAGAGCTGGAAGTTGAAGTCATCTTTCTGCTTGAAAGAGACCTCCTTGGTGGTACCGTTGTTGCCGGCCAGACTTGTTGGTATAAAGATAGCCTGGGATCGCTGTTTAGTGCCGTCGAGGTATGTGTAGCCAGATGCATATCCTGCAGTGTCCGAACTACGGATCTCAACAACACGGAACGAAGGAGACAACGACGCAGCTTTGAATGCAGCGCCAAGGACTGCGCTTTCGTCTGCATTCACATTGGTCTTGAGCTTGGCTGCACCTCCTGCGATCTGCTCGAGCTTGCGCTGCACAAATGGAGTTCGGCCTGCTCCACCGTGCAGGATGATGCTATCAATGTCGGCGATTTTGAATCCAGCGGCAGCCAGTGCATCCTCGATGGGCTTTGCGACTCGTTCAGCATCGACTTCGGTCAAGGCTTCGAAATCAGCTCGGGTCAGCTTAGCCTTGAAGTCGATATCTGGAAGCAACTCTTCGAAAGAGCTACTGGTCTCAGCATTGGCACTGAGAACGGTTCGTGCTCTCTCCGACTCTTTCCATAGTCTCCCGAGAACACGACCGTTCTCCTTGATCTGCTCAAATTGGATGCCGCGGCTCTTGACCACGGGCTTGGTGAAGAACTTGTTGATATAGTCCGTCAAGACCGTTTGTGTCAGGCTATCACCACCAAGAGTTTTGTCCCAGCCAACGCCAAGTACAGATACCTCCTTGACAGTCTTGTTGTATCGAGCAGTGTCCCTGACAGATCTCTCTTGGAAGCGTAGGAGCGTTGCTGTGGTTGAGCCAGCACCCATATCAAACACAATGTGGTGCTCTGGCTTACCGCCTTTGCTGACAACCGGGAATGTCCTAGCCTTTGCGTAGTCCAGTGCTACAGCCAAACCATCAGTTACCAAGGCTGTGACCTCTAGACCTGCCAGTGACGCTGCCCTTGTGATAGCACTCTTCTCCTGCGCTGTGTAGAACGCTGGAACTGTGATGACCACGTTTCGACAAGACACACCTTGTCCAGCAGTGCTCTCAGCGTTACGTCTTATGTTGGCGAACTCCATAGCAAGCAACTCGTCGATTGTCCATGGCGTTTCGCTCTCGTGGAAAGCAGTGCTCTTGATCGTTGGGTGCTCAGTATCAGATAATCTGACGGCTGGGTAACGGGACTGGTACGTCGCGAGTTGCAGCTTATCCTCCGTGGTAGCTAGCAGGCCGAGAAGTGGTTTCAAGTTTGGAAAAACCTCGCTTGGGAATCGTCCTTGTAATGCAATGGCATCTGCGCCGTACAGTCTCTCTGGAAATGATCCAACCTCGGCCAGTATCTCGTTGCCGACTTTTGCTGGCTTGAATGCCACGGCTGCCACTTCTTTTCGCTTCGAATCCTTGGTAAGAACTATATCAAACGTTCCAGGCTTGACCAGCACCGCTTTGATGTGAGCTGTACCGAAGTCTATACCGAGTACGGCAGCACTGGCTGTGGTTGTGAAGAAGAACAGAAGACTGAGCAAGGCAAATGACAGTGAGGCATGCCGCCTTCGTCCTGGTGGTGACATGATGTGTGTATGCTGTATCGGTGATCGCGTGCAGCCAATGTCGTTGTGCTCTCGAGGAATTTACGAGCGGTGGTCGCAGAGCATTGTGCAAGCAACGATGGGGACCAAAGGATGTTATTGAGATGTGTGACTCAGCTCGTAGAGCGTTTTGTTGCCGCTTGTGCAGTCGAAGTGTTGGTGGTCCAAAGATAGCTGTTTCTAATGCCTGCCAGCTGTCAATTATTCTGACGCAAGAGAGCTAAATTGAACACCGCCACACGTCAGGATCGACTACGAGCAAGGGTCCTCTTGAGATTGACATGTGCTTTGCAAGATAAATGCTACAGAAAGTGACTACTCAGCATCGCTATCAGTGTCGGTATCTGTCTCGCTTTCGTCCTCATCCTCGTCTGTACCAGACTCATAATCACT